CAAATAAAGCCAAGGTAACACTCATTTTACATACAGCACACAGTGAAAATGACATGAATATGACAGTGGGCAAATGCATAAAGTGCAGCATCATTTGAAATCATGAATTTAATGTTTAAAGCATTCAATTTGCACGGACCGAAAGTCACGCAGAGAACACGCGATCATGCAGGTCACATGCACACTTCACAAGATCTCACAACTGGATTAAACTAAGTTTGCAAAGTTTGTGAAATAAAATTTTCATTAGCCATTCAAAGATTTGTTTAAATGATGTAAATGTGTAAATTTATTTGCTGAATGATGAATGTTGAATGATGAATGTTTGCTGACGGCAAATGAGAAAGTATTATAATGTTTGCCTTTCTATTACTAATAATATAAAAGCAATCGTTATAATACTTTTTGTGCACATTTTAATTCCTTTGTTTAAAGTTCTATCGGATTATTAGACAGACTTCTATCCGTATTAGACAGAACTGTTAACGACGACGACGGCGAACAAGAGGGAGAATGTGAGCACTGTGTGCTTCTCAGGCGCTGCCGTTCTCAGTGCCGTCAAAATAAAAGTCCCGCCTCGAAAGCATCGTCCAAAAAGAAAAACGTATTGGTCGATGCCGATATTTGAAAAATGGCAAATATCGGCCGACCACTAGATAGGATACAGACATAAAACCAGTGAAAATTCAATACTTTCCTCTCCTGATTTGATTTGAACAAACTTGAAATTATGACCTGATTATGGACCTGACGTTATGTCAAATGTCTATAGACTTCATTACTGACCTTATCACTGTGCTCCATAAATTCTGCAAGATTAAGCAGCGTCTGTGTGACCTCAGCGATATCCTGAGAAGTCAGAGCAAGCTCAATACTGCGTATCAGTTCATCCTGCTGATCTTCACTGAGCTCTGACCAGCATGATAAGAATGCAGCATTAAAAAGATCCCTACAGAGAAGAGAGAACATACACACAGGCTTCAATCATTTTGCATGGTTATGTCTGTTTTAATTTTCTTTTTTTTTTTTCTTTTGTTGTTTGACTAATATTAAGGACACAGGTAGTAGCAGGTATATAGGATGTTGTCACTTTAAGATCTAATGCATGGATCCAATACAATGATACACATTTGATAATCTCCCAACTGTTGTCAACTGACTTACGTGAACACTTTTAAAACAAATTAACATTTTCGTTTTGTTTTTATTTGTTAAAAGGTTTTTTGTCATAGTTTTTGCCATTCAAAACAGTTTTTTTTTGTTGATGTTGTTCTTGTCTGTGAAAAATGTCTCTGATGAAAACAATGACGAAAATTATTTGTCAATGAAATTAACACTGGTCCAAGTTAGCTGTTCTTGGCCAATGCAGGCTTCAATGTAAAACAGACTTTAATCAGACATCAAATCCTCTTACAAGGTTTTTGCTTATAAGTTATATTATAATTATTTCTTTTCTAATATTTTTTGGGCTTTCTGACTTTTTCAATTTTTGTGTTTCTTAATGTTAATTCAAAGTTTATGAAATCTGGTTTAAACTTGGAGATGGTTAGCTTGGTTCATGTCTTTGAATTTTTTATTGGAAAAATTCTTTGGAGAAATTTACTGGGAACATACTCTCAGAATTAAGGGTACTGAAAATGTGGGCAATCACTGACACATCTCTATTAAACTGATGGGTTTCTGAAATGACACTTCAACAGAGAAACAGAGGCAGAGGAGGTAAAGTTTACCTAGCGAGTGGTATATACGTCTGCGCCAGAGACCAGCAGGAGCGCAGGGCAGGTGAAGATGATTCTTTCAGCAAGACCACACTAAGACGTCTTAACCACTCCAGCCAGTCATCTTTGGAGACCTTCCTGGCTGCACCCCATGCCTGCAATCAGCAGAAACAGGACTAATAAACAGACAAAAAGAGGCATGTGAGATCGGTTTAAGTAAGCTCACCGTCTACTACACAAAGAGCTGTCATAACTGATTTCAATAATTGATGTTAGTATGCTAAGCTAATGGCA